GCTGATATCTGTAACAAACACCACACTGATGTCAGGGACAGAAATATCCCCAATAGTCTCACATACACAACACTGATAGCTGATATCTGTAACAAACACCACACTGATGTCAGGGACAGAAATATCCCCAACAGTATCACATACACAGCACTAATGGCTGATATCTGTAACAAAGACAACATTGATGTCAGAGACAGAAATATCCCCAACAGTATCACATACACAACACGGATGGCTGATATCTGTAACAAACACCACACTGATGTCAGGAACAGAAATATCCCCAACAGTATCACATACACAGCACTAATAGCTGATATCTGTAACAAACACCACACTGATATCAGGGACAGAAATATCCCCAACAGTATCACATAAACAGCACTGATGGCTGATATCTGTAACAAACACCACACTGATATCAGGGACAGAAATATCCCCAACAGTATCACATACACAGCACTAATGGCTGATATCTGTAACAAAGACAACATTGATGTAAAATACCTGAAACATTCACCACACATATTGTTGGCAGAAACCTGTTATGACGTTAAAGAATGGTAGCTTACCTGCTGAATGACAACCATGAAGATTGTGAATGCGATGACCTTGAAGATGTGGATCTGAGCGATCCTCCACATCAGTCGCGACAAATCGTTCCACCAGACACTGCACCGTGACCAGGCAATCAAGAAGTAGTACTTCATTCTCCGTCTCATCTCTAGTGAAACATAGAATCAGAGGTCAAACTTTCTTCACAAGTTCATGTCAAAAGGTCAACCCTCTGCAATGATCACAACATGAGTTGAACCATGCTTAAGATCTAGAATCCCGATGTTAATCCTTAATTTTAGAAATCAAAATTTCACACATCAAATTTTGAAAATCAGCTTAAATCGGTAAAATACTTCATAATGTAATTTCAAATCTGAGGATAATACCAGTTTGTGGCATTGCTAGTTTAAGGTAAGCTTACTCTTGGTATGTTTGCGTATGACACCTTCGCTGTCGGAGGTACCCTCTGTGTCGGTGGTCATAGAACCCACTGGCTGAGGTAACTCCTCCTTCCTGTAAAACAAAACATCATCATCACATTCATTTTTCTGCACATCAAATCATCATCATCATCATCATCATCAAATCATCATCATCATCATCATCATCATCATCATCATCATCATCATCATCATCATCATCAAATCATCATCATCATCATCATCATCATCATCACAGCAACCCATCGGCAACACAGAATGACTAATAGTTCCGAAGAAAGAAGCCTTTAAAGGAAAAGCTGATGACAGATTGACAACAGGCATAGTCGCTATATCACTATTTTACAATCTTAAGTTAATAAGACTTTTAAATAAAGTTAAACACCCACCTGTGTCTATCCAAGTCACTGAGGAGGAGAAAGGGTCTGTGGAAGTAATGGACTTGCAAGATGATAAGGATGAGGAAGGTCGTTGGTGTCAGCAGCTTCTCAAACAGGCCTGCTGTATCAAAGATCTCCAGACCAATGTCTGACAATCTGTAAAATATAGATAAATCTGTAACAAACATGTCCAGTTCAGTGAATTAGTCAGTGATGTTTGTACTTCAGCTTTTAAAGTCCAGTTCTGTTCCCCCAATAATTGGTCAAATCATTAGTACTTACACTTACTGGTACACTTGGTTGGAAAGTTTGGTGCCATTTCTCCAGTAATCAGTGTTTAGTGATATTAGTACTTACACTTACTGGTACACTTGGTTGGAACGTTTGGTGCCATTTCTCCAGTAATCAGTGTTTAGCGATATTTGTACTTACACTTTGTCAGAAACTCTATAGAGCCAGACTCCTCCAGTAATTGAGCAAGTTTTTGATACGTGTACTTACACTTGGTCAGAAAGTTGGTGATGTTTCTCCAGTAATCAGTGAAGTCAGTGATATGTTTACCTACTCTTTGTTGGACAGTCTAGTGCCAGTCCTTCAGTAACTGTGAAAGTTTTTTTATCCAAATACTACACTTTTACAGAAAGTCTATGGTACCATTCCTCCAATAAACCAGTAAAGTCAGTGATACATGTACTTACACTTGGTCGGAGAGTCCAGTGCTGTTTCTCCAGTAATTGGTTAATCCAGTGATACATGTACTTACACTTGGTCGGAGAGTCCAGTGCTGTTTCTCCAGTAATTGGTTAATCCAGTGATAC